AAATCCCTGTACCTCCCCTCAGGGATGGTCTGATCAATAGTGACAATTTTTTCGATAACTCAGCCATTTCGTGACGGATCCTTCTCATCTTCGAACTCGACCGAGACATTGTTAAGACTGAACTGTGTAGAAAATTTCATCATGATCTGACTCTCCTTTCGAAAGTTATCGTGTAAACGGCCGGACGGACGGACATACTGACCGATTCTAGAGTGTACTCACTTTTTGAGTACACAAAAAAGAATTCACTAATATTAGTTTCAGATCTTATATATTCCTACCTACAGTTGAGAGCAGCAATACTATAGTAGTTATCGTTAACTGTGATAGAGTGGTGTTCGTTTTTGAAAGGAATATCAAAAAAAGCTGTCTCTATTTTTCAACATTCTCAAGCTAAAATTCTTCTTCTTAACTTTCCTCAAAAATCCGAAATCCTATAGACAATTATTACCTCTCAATATGCCAAGTTCTAATGAAAATACATACTACTACGTACTATGAAGTGTACCAAGTATTTTATAGAAATATGTTGTTGTTTTTTTTTTAATATGAGGATTAATGAGATTCTTCTTTTTTAGACAACATACTGCAGTTAAAATAGCTCCTCGTTATCACAATGCTCCAGTTATACATGTATTAGATGCATCAAAAAGTGTTGTTGTTTGTGGAAATCTTTTAAGTAGGAAATAAATGATTCTTATTTCAATAATATATTTTTGTTTTTTGTTCAAATTTAGATAAAGATAAAAAAGATGATTATGTAGAAGATATAGCCGAAGAATATAACGATATTCGTGATGATTATTATGCAAATCTTAAACAAATACGTTCGATACCAATAAATGATGCAAGAAAAAAACGATGGATTAGTGAAAATGAAAGTTTTAAAATAACTAAACCAACATTTTTAGGTACGAAAACATTTAATAATATTGATGTTGAAAAATTAATTGATTATATTGATTGGAAACCATTTTTTGATGCCATGCAAATACGTGGAAAATATCCAAATCGTGGTTATCCGAAATTATTCGATTGTAAAGAAGTTGGTGCACAAGCTCGTATTGTATTTGATGATGCACAAAAAATTTTATCAAATATTGTTGCACAAAAAATTTTTTCAATTCGTGCTGTTATTGGATTTTATCCATGTCGAACATCAGGTGATGATATACTTATATATGATCCACAAGATTCAACAAAACAAATTTCAACATTATTTGGTTTAAGACAACAAACTGAACGTGATTCAAATGTTTATATGTGTTTATCAGATTTTATATCATCAACTACAATTGATTATATTGGACTTTTTGCATTAGCTGTTTTTAATGTTGAACAAGAAGCACAAAGATTAGTACAAAAAGTATGAAAGAAAAAATGACTTGTTCAATTTCAATCCTTATTATTTTGTTTAGGAAACTGATGATTATTCATCAATTATATTAAAATTATTAGGTGATCGTTTAGCTGAAGCATGTGCTGAATATTTACATGAACGTGTTCGTCAAGAATTATGGGGTTACGTACCTAATGAAAATTTATCAAAAAAGGATTTACTTTCAGTAAAATATCAAGGTATTCGTCCAGCTGCTGGTTATCCAACACAACCAGATCATACTGAAAAATTAACATTATGGAAATTATTAAATGCAAAAGAATCAATTGGTATTGATTTAACAGAATCACTTGCTATGCAGCCAGCATCAGCTGTTTCTGGACTTTATATGGCTCATCCAGAATCAACTTATTTTGCTGTTGGAAAAATTAATCAAGATCAAGTATGTTGAATTTAGAGGCAAACAAGAAATTGTTAAAAAATAAGAAACAGAAATATATAATCGCACGTAGGGGTTTAGGGATACTTGGTCGCAATATTGACAAAATAATTAATGAGGAAAGCTTCTCATCTTGAAAGTTGCTTCTGAACTCCGATTCTGTGCTTAAGGTAGACTTCAATAAGATATTAAAATCTTTAAAAGGATAAAGGTGTCTAAGCCTTCTTTGCTAAGTTATAGAATATCCAGGACATATATCTGAAGACGAAAAAAAGACATATTAAGTGAAAAATAATACAGACAGAAAAGCAAATGTTGTATAATGACAAAGTCTCGAATACATTCAGGAAACGTAAAAATGACTAATAATCACTTTTTATTCCTTCCTTATGTTATGTCAAATAGTATCTATAGCGTCAGGAAAATTCATCTTGTTGTTTTACTATGAACTAGAACATACCTATTCTCATTCAATTCAAATTTTTATCTGCTTAAATTTTTTATGTGTAGAAAAAAATCAAATTTTGGTTTGTTTATTTTAGGTATGTGATTATGCTGATCGAAAAGGAATGTCCGTAAAAGAAGTTGAAAAATGGTTATCACCAATTTTAGCTTATGATGTTGATTCACAACAATAAATTTAATTATCATTCTTCGAAAAGTTTTGTCTTTCAACAGTTATTGTTGTTATATGCTAATTTTGCTATTATTAGTGTTATAAGAAATAAATATAGGTCATAGATCAATCTATTATTATTTCCATTTATTTTAGATTTAAAATAAAGAACAAATATGGTACTTAATCGAGATGCTATTCTCAGAGTAAGAATTTCAAATATTTATTTTTGAATTTATTATCTCTTTGTAGTATATGGTTGCAATACATTTTATTTACACAAGCATGTAAGATTTAATAAAGATGAAAAGATATAGCACTAAAAAAATTTTTCGGATGTTTTTTCTTGACTTTTGAACTAGCTCATAGAATCGTTTCAATATCTCTGATTGTTCAATTATTTTGAATAGATACGATATCTTTTGTATAAAGTTCACTTTCTTGATAATTTTTGAGACGATTTTAATCCAGTGAATTGAAATTCTTATTGATTCTTTTCGAATTAAATTAAATGAAAAAGTCACATATATTGGTTTTCTTTGCTCTTTTTACTAGGGCTCTGATAACCGACTGGCTACCTATGTCATACATTGTGAATCAAATGGCTATTATAGTACTTGGTCTTTGGGCAATAGTACATCGTGACAGTGCTATTTTAGTTGAAATTGTATGTTATTTTTTTGTATAGTTAATTTATCTTAATATTCTTTCGTTTAGTTAATGGTAATTAAATGTTTTTCGATTGTTCTTGATACAATTGCTATTGGAATGCATTTTCAAATTGGAAGACGAGGTATATTTGTCCTTTGTTCTCGTATTTTAATCTATAAAACCCTTTTTTTTTATAGCTTATCAAGTTGTCGATCATAGTTCTTATTTTTTTGTTAGTGCTTTGTAAGTTTTTTTTGTTTTTATTCTCAAAAAGTTACAGATTATATTTTAAATTTTTCTTAGTTTTGCTATATTTCTTTTAATACTCAAACCGATTATGCTTTTATTGTTAAATAAAGTCAGACAAGATCGTCTTGGTGATACAGAATCACCGACGTTCGGAGGTTGGGGTTCTAATATAAGTCCTGGTAAGATATAAATACATGTATATTCTTCAATCATCACGTTTTTTGTTTTGTTTATTTACTAGTACCAGGATATATGCCAGTTGATGAACAACAAACTACTTAATTATAAGACTTATAAAATGAAATTGTTTTCTTTTTCGTGATTTTATGTAATTTCTATTTTGATGAATATAAACTTTTTTTTTTTGTGATAATGTTTTATAATAAATATGGAAATAAGTAATCAATAAATGCGAACAAAATATTGACACGATTCATTTTTTTTGTTTAATTCTTGAATTTAAATTCAGAGAATTAATTTTGATTGATTAATCGCTTTTCTTTTTTACATTTATATATTTAATATATGTATGTTGTAGTCGAAATTGCTTTTCGGATGAACTGAAAAAGTTAAAAAACGAAACAAAATCCAAGTAACAACTAATTCTTTTTTATTTCACAAAATTTATTGACGATGCATCATCTGTTTCGTGAACGGACAAGTCTTCAAACATGTCAAACTAATTAGACTTCAGAAAAAATTCTCGTGAGAATTTTTCTTCCAACAACACATCATCTAATGTCCGCGCCAGAATAAAAGAGGGGTGAGTGTAAGCTCAATAACTCGACAACCACAATACCTAGCTACCTGCGATTTTCACCAATCGAAAGAGGAGGAGCGGGCACGTCTTTTTCTTCGATAATGTATAAGACGAAATTCTTTTAAAACTAATGATATTTGAAAAAC